CAACAGCAAAGAACTACAGACCAATAGCCCCTAACATCCCATATCATAAAAAATCTTTGAAAGGGTCCTAAGAAGCAAGATCACCACGCATCTAGAAACCCATCAGTTAAAACAACCCAGGGCAACATGGGTTTAGAACAGGTCGCTCCTGTCTGTCTCAACTATTGGACCACTACGACAAGGTCCTAAATGCACTAGAAGACAAAAAGAATGCAGATGTAATTAATACAGACTTTGCAAAAGCCTTTTGACAAGTGTGACCATGGCGTAATAGGCACAAAATGCGTGCTAAAGGAATAACAGGAAAAGTCGGCGATGGATTTTATAATTTCCTCACTAACAGAACACAGAGAGTAGTCGTCAACAGAGTAAGTCCGAGGCAGCTACGGTGAAAAGGGTCTGTTCCACAAGGCACAGTACTCGCTCCCCTCTTGTTCCTCATCCTTATACCGACATAGACAAGGATGTCAGCCACAGCACCTTGTCTTCCTTTGCAGATGACACCCGAATCTGCATGACAGTGTCTTCCATGCAGACACTGCAAAGCTCCAGGCAGACATCAACCAAATTTTTTCAGTGGGCTGCAGAAAACAATATGAGTTCAACGATGGAAAATTTCAATTACTCAATATGGTAAACATGAGGAAATTAAATCTTCATCAGAGTACAAAACAAATTCTGGCCACAAAATAGAGCGAAACACCAACGTTAAAGACCTGGGAGTGATCATGTCGGAGGATCTCACCTTCAAGGACCATAACATTGTATCAATCGCATCTGCTAGAAAAATGACAGGATGGATAATGAGAACCTTCAAAACTAGGGAGGCCAAGCCCATGATGACACTCTTCAGGTCACTTGTTCTATCTAGGCTGGAATATTGCTGCACACTAACAGCACCTTTCAAGGCAGGTGAAATTGCCGACCTAGAAAATGTACAGAGAACTTTCACGGCGCGCATAACGGAGATAAAACACCTCAATTATTGGCAGCGCTTGAGGTTCCTAAACCTGTATTCCCTGGAACGCAGGAGGGAGAGATACATGATTATATACACCTGGAAAATCCTAGAGGGACTAGTACCGAACTTGCACACGAAAATCACCCACTACGAAAGCAAAAGACTTGGCAGACGATGCACCATCCCCCCAATGAAAAGCAGGGGTGTCACTAGCACGTTAAGAGACCATACAATAAGTGTCAGGGGCCCGAGACTGTTCAACTGCCTCCCAGCACACATAAGGGGGATTACCAACAGACCCCTGGCAGTCTTCAAGCTGGCACTGGACAAGCACCTAAAGTCAGTTCCGGATCAGCCGGGCTGTGGCTCGTATGTTGGTTTGCGTGCAGCCAGCAGCAACAGCCTGGTTGATCAGGCTCTGATCCACCAGGAGGCCTTGTCTCAGACCGGGCCGCGGGGGCGTTGACCCCCGGAACTCTCTCCAGGTAAACTCCAGGTAATTTCTTGAACATTTCTGAGTGAGTTGTCTCTGAATTCATTAATCTTATCGCATTCAAGTACGTAATGGCGCAAGGTGTGACAAGTGTCCATTTGGCAGAGTTTACATTTCGTTTGGTCTACATCTGGTGGTGGTGATTTAATCTCCCAAAGATATTTGTGACCCAGCCGGAGCCAGGTAGAAGTGACATCCAAGAGTCTGCTTATTTTGTTGGACGAACCACGGGCATGTGGCTCCTTCTATATCAGTTGAAGTTCTTTTCGTATGAATGTTCTCAAACTGCTAATTGACAGCCCAAGACTGTAATCTACTTCCTCTTTGAAGCTATATAACTTAGCTAATTCATCAATTCTGTCATGCATCTGAAGACCAACGTGAGACGGAATCCACAGGTGTACTCCGACTCCACTGTCCATAATCCTACCACAATCCCTAAGTTAAGTTTAATATGTTTATTATGCACCCCATACCCATCCTGTGGGAGGTAGTCAAAAGATTACAGAGGTACATAATTGGTCCAGGGACTGGGCCTCAAAGTTTTGATAGCTGAGCAAGTTACAGAGGTAATGAATTCACAATTTACAAAGGTAATGAACTCACAATTTACAAAGGTAATGAACTCCAGGTAGGTCTAGTCACAATCATGACAAGTTACAAAGGTATTTACAGATTACAGAGGTACACAATGGGTCCAGGGACCGGGCTCCAAAGTTTTGATGGCTGAACTAGGTACAAGGTAATGAACTCACAAGTTACAAAGGTAATGAACTCACAAGTTACAAGGTAATGAACTCACAAGTTACAAAGGTAATGAATACTGTAAGAATGGTTACTTACGTTTATACATGGCTGCAATCATGAACAAATTTTAGAGTAATGAGCAATTCACACTTCCACACCCGGTCACAACTGTAGTGAGTTATTGGTGCAAATGTTGATTGCTGAGTCTCTCTCTCTCTCTCACACACACACACACACACACATACAAATTCATACACACACACACATAAACACACACACACACACACACACACACACACACACAAACTCATACACACACACGCACACACACTCATACACACACACACACACACTCATACACACACACACACACACTCATACACACACACACACTCATACTCACACACACACACACACACACACACACACACACACACACACACACACACTCACAACTCACACACATACACACAAACACACACACACACACACACACACACACACACACACACACACACACACACACACACACACACACACACACACACACACACACACACACACACACACACATGCACATATGTGGTAATGCTTTATTTACAGCTAGCAAAGTCAGGGTATTTCTCCAGAATGGTCTGTAATATACCACTGTGGATAAAATACTTAGCCATTTCTTGAACACTTCTGAGTGAGTTGTTTCTAAATTCATTAATTTTATCACACTCCAGTACAATCCCTAAGGCGTACGCTTTGGCAACCCTTATTGATCCCTACTAGATTTTTTTTTTTAGATTTTGCCACCGAAGTGGCTAGTTTAAATATAAGTAAATATGCAAAAACAACCACGGGGAGAATTGAATGCATCTTGCATCGTTTGTTCGTGATTTTTTTTTTTTTGCTTAAGAAAATATATAAAGAACAATCCGGCGTAAGGACTTCTGCGCCAGCCTTCGTCTAGTGTAGACGTTTCTCTCTCACCTGAGCATCAATGACAAATTTTCCCAGTTCTCTCTGGGACGCTTGTTTTCATCTTACTTTGCCTGCTGAGAATGTCACAAAGAGGGAAACCTGTCATCTGCTCAATTTTAGCCGGCTTCCATTTGTCTGATCTGAGGATAATTCTTTAACGGTTTTGATACGAAGCCGGTTGCTGAACTCTGATGAGGCTGTGGACGTCCCTCTCTTCTGGGGCTTGGTAAGGTCTATTTGGGAACTTGTAGTCTCTCTTTCTATATACAAAGGAACTCCTGTTCTATTTTCTGTCATCGTCCAGCTTTGGGCAATATTTCTTCTTAGTAAATCTCATAAGTAAGGTGACTCTAGACCTGCTAAAGGCATTCGATACAGTTAACCATAATATATTGTGTAAGGACCTCCAAGATATCAGCATAAGCTCTGTAAGCTAGTTTAAGTCTTACCTAAATAACAGGAAACAAATTGTCAAGATCAATAATATGTGGGTCCCCCAGGATAGTATTCTGGGTCCCTTACTAATTTTATGCTATATGAATTACATGTTCATCACTGTCAAATGTAAGCTTGTACTTTCACTGCAACTAGAATCCAGTAGTAAATGGTTAGGAGACAACCAGCTATCGCTACACTTTGGGAAAACAGTATAAGTATACTGAAAAGGGTAAATACTTTTAATGCCCAGTGTAATGGGGAACCCCATCTCTTCAGTGAAATATCTGGGAATTCCCTTTGACTCAAGCATGTCACGTAGATTATTCGTGTTGTTCATGATACTCTGCCTTTATTTATTTATGTCTTTGCAAATAGTACATTGGGATTTTGTATTTACAATAATGGGTTGCAATGCAAAGATAGTCTCTATTATGCTTAGACATTATGGGCCTTAACAAAAAAAATGAAATACAGACTACAAATCACCTAGAACAAACTAATGAGAATCATCCTGGACCTGAGTCCAAGAGGGAGTGTAAGCCGGGGTAAATTACAAGTGGATATGTCGAATGCTTATAAATTTGCTCACAAGCAGTGTCCAGAATATCTTGCTGCAAAGATTTGTCAAGGTTAGGAACCAAAACCAGTATGGTTAGTTTAATATCTTTATTATGCACCCCATACCCATCCTGTGGGCGGTAGTCAAAAAATTACAGATACATAATTGTTCCAGGGACTGGACTCCAAAGTTTTGATAGCTGAGCAAGTTACAAAGGTAATGAACTAGATCTGGTCACAATTATGACAAAGTTACAAAGGTAATGAGCTCCAAGTAGAGCTGGTCACACTCATGACTAATTACAAGGGTAATGAACTAGGTCAAAATCATGACAAGTTTCAAAGGTAATGAATCATAAACACGTTAATACATGGTTACAATCATGAACAAATTACAGAGTAATGAACAATTATAAAACATTCTAAGGAATGCATGCACTGCCCCAACATGTTGCTAGGTGCCTGTCCCTCCTCGGCAGGACAACCAGACAGCCATTGCAAACAGCAGCAGGTTGGGCCAGGATCTGCTGCTTGCAGGAGCACCATCGACCCTCCCCAAGAGGTCCAAGAAGCCAGCGACTCCCCTAGCAGCCCGAGGGAGAGCTGCCCTGGGGACGTGTCAACGTCCTGGTGGACGCCAATTTGATTGAATATCCCAGGCCCTATGTAAAGGTGAAGTCACGGCAGCTGTCACCTCTGTCTCCTGGAGGGGCTGTTGGTTGTTTCCACCTGGAGCCCTCCGGGTGCCCAGACACCCACCGTGTGCACGGATGCTGAAGCTTGAGGAAATGAGTGCACACTGCCTATGGCGCATGTTGTGATAGAAACACAGGCCTTATCTCTAGGCTTTATTGAACATAGAATCTTCATAGTACTTCTGCAACAACAAAATATAATGACTAGTACATCTAATAATGGCTTCTACAGGGATGGTGATGTCTTGCATATGTCAAGAGAAAAGTTATAACTACAGGCCACATATTTAAACTCACCATGTAATCTGCATCACTAATATATATATAGATAGAGGAGGAGAGAATCACACACCATGTGTTGGTGCCCATGACACACACCAAACTGTTGTTGTTGTTAATGGCCCCAAGAGGTGGTGCAGTATTATCCTGCTGCTGCTCCCCACAGGACCAGTATCACTACAGCGCACCTGACAGCTGCCTCGCGGTCGAACTCCACGATGCTGTCTCTGCAGTGGAAATTCCCGTGACCCCGGCACACCATGTGCAATCGCTGACATCGTGGGTTGGGAGGGGAAAGTACCCTCTACAGTTGGGGTGGCGCTAGGAGGGTGAGGCGCAGGGGTGAGGGGTTATGAGAGGGTCACTACACACGGGGCACGGCCTGGGGCGGGGTGTCACCAACACATCCCGCCCCCTCCCCCCGGAGTGGGTGGGAGGCACTGACTGGTCCCGACTGAACCCTCACAAAACTGCACAATACTTCCACTATTTATGCTGAAACGATGCACTGGGATGTCCTCTCGCTGCTCTGGAATCTTCTCAAAGCATTCAGACTGAGTTAAGAAATCGTAATGACACGATTGCAAATAAACCATACCCCCGGCCGGGATTGAACCCGCGGTCATAGAGTCTCAAAACTCCAGCCCGTCGCGTTAGCCACTAGACCAGCTAAGTCTCAAAACTCCAGCCCGTCGCGTTAGCCACTAGACCAGCTAGTGGCTGGTCTAGTGGCTAACGCGACGGGCTGGAGTTTTGAGACTTAGCTGGTCTAGTGGGTAACGCGACGGGCTGGAGTTTTGAGACTCTATGACCGCGGGTTCAATCCCGGCCGGGGGTATGATTCAGACTGAGTCCTGTTCAGTCGTGACCTGGTCAGCCTCTTTGATCAGGAGCTATCCTTGAAAATCCCGCAGCTAGCCCGCCACACGCCCTGCCATGTTGGTGGAGTCTGCGACGATTCGAAAACTAGTATGGTACTAGAGAAAGTGAATACAGTTCTGCACTACCTACAACAGGTGGTCAGGCCTCAGTCATCTTTTTATTATACAACAGTAAAGCAGTGGAACCGATTATCTGAGCATGTCATGGCCTGAAACAGTTCAGGAAGCGAGTTAAAAGGTTCCTAATTACCTGGAGAGAGTTCCGGGGGTCAACGCTCCCGCGGCCCAGTCTGTGACCAGGCCTCATGGAAAAAAAAATTATGCCAACAGCATTTGGTGTTCCCAGGCGGTCACCCATCCAAGTACTAACCAAACCCAATGTTGCTTAACTTCGCTGATCGGACGAGAAGCGGTGCGTTCAACGTGGTATGGCCGTTGACAGTATAATGAATGAAGCTACAAAACAAGAGGAAAGTGATTTCTTGTACAGTTAACATTCGTGTACTTATTATTATAAGCTGATTTTCTCTATTTTATATTCTTGTAAATAACTCATTTCACTTTGTTCCTATTGCACCTCTTTTTATCGTAAACATTTTCACACAGTTGGAGTTACTTTGTTTTATTTTTTAGATTATAACCATGATTGATTTCTGCTGTATGTTGCAGCTGAACTTTAAATAATAAGATATTACAGGGATCCCAATGGAAATAATTCACTTCGTCTGACGTTTCTGCGTTATCCTAGGTAACTTACACACATGTCACTATGTATTATAACTGTAATCACCTAAATTTGTATAATTACTTAAGTTTACCTGTCCCGTGACTCGGTAGGTTACACATGCCGCACACTGAGTGTCCTTGGTTCAATTCCCGGCATGAGCGGAAACGTTGGAATATTTCCTTACACCTGCTCTTCCTATTTATTTAGCAAGTAAGTAGGTATCTGGGTGGGAGTCGACTGGTGTGGGTCGCATCCTGGGTGATAAAACTGAAGAACCACAATGGAAAAAGACACAGTCCTCAATGATGCAGTGACTTTCTTGTGTGGCTAACCCTTCCCCGGGTTAAAAATTCCAACAAATCTTATCTTACTTAATTGAGAAGGGAACCAATGAAAATAAATCACTCTGATTTTTTGGGGGGTTATCCTAGGTAATTCCCACTATGTATGATGACTGTACTTATGTGTACCTGTACCTAAATAAATTTACTAACTTAGGGCTCGATACGGCATAAGCTGTCAGTGGCTCTTACAAACCCAAGAAGACGAAGATACGATGCAAGTTGTTGTAGCCCTATAAAAAACAACACCAATAAAAAAGAGAAGGATGGCTGGAAGCTTCATAAATGGTATATAAGACTCTTATATTATAGTTGTTAGGAATGTTACACAACTAATATTTAAAGTTCGTCAAATACTAACATGTAGGTTTAGAAGCTCAGGTGATAAGAATGTGGAAATAGGTTATCCTTGGTTATTTTGTTGCTTTTTCATGTTTGTATGTATGAGACCATCCAAGGAAGGTTCCTTGATGCTGATGAGGGCCTTTTGATCCAAGGAATTGGATTAATCCTCCCCTTGGTAAGTTGTTGTTTAGTCTTTGAGTGATTACCATCCAATATATTTTTTACAATGCACTTGAAGGCCAGGAGCTACAACTCGACCCCTGCAACCACAAATAGATAAGTACGTTATGGGCCCAGGAAGTACATTATGTAGATTTAACTTAGCATAACCCAGTAATCAAACAACGTGACTTATTTTAGTCGTTATTTACTTGTAAGTGAAGTTGGGGGATAATTTCTACTTTATGGTAGTATATAATATTTATACACAAGTAACCTGCACATAAGAGGCTTGAACTTTAGGTACAGGTACACATAAATACATTTATATAAATTATCATCCATAAGTAACATATGTGTAAATTACCTAGAATGATCCAGAAAAGTCAGTTAGAATGATAACAAATTCTCACTACAGGCAGCACACTCCACCAATATTCAATACACTAAACCTACTCACCATACAAAACATCCATACTTACTACTGCACCTATTACATACATAGAACACTTAACTCTGATATTAACCCTCCCCTCAAACATCTCCTTGCCAACCTCAACAGAACACATGACCATAACACAAGGCACAGATCACTCTTTGATGTTCCTCGTGTTCATCTCACACTATGCAAAAACTCAATGCACATAAAAGGCCCTAAAATCTGGAATTCATTACCTGTAAATATAAAAGAAACACTACCTGTTTATAAATTCAAGTCTCTACTCAAAGATCACTTACTCACCCAAAACCAAATAAATACTGAATAACTGACCCTTATAAATTGTATATCTTAAATGTTTCTCACAATTATATCACATAAATGTTAAACCTAAAACCGAATCTAACTTTATTATTTTTTAAATACACTACCTAACAGAATCCTTCATATGACCTGTCTTTGTAATACTCACTTGTGCTTTATAGTAATCTGTTTACATTAATGTTTTATCACTGACTTCATCATTGCTTAGTTAATCTTAAGTTAATTTTAAGCCAGCCCGTAATGCTATGCATAGTATAAGTGGCTTTGGCATACTGCTCTTATCTGTATTTTTTTTGTACCTCTGTATGTGTGCTCAAATTTATAATAAATAAATAAAATAAATAAATAAATAAAGTGACTTATTTTCATTGGGGTCCTCGTAACAGTGTTTCAGTCTGATTTGGACCAATTAATGGTCCAAGTTGGAACAATGGTGCCCCTTGGCCTGGTGGCTAAAGCTATCGCTTCACATGGTGTGGGTCTGGGTTCGATTCCCAGCGAGGATAGAAACATTGGACGTATTTCCTTACACCGGTTGTCTATGTTCACCCATAAGTAAAATGGGTACCTGGGAGTTAGTCATTTGGTGTGGGTCGCATCCTTGCAAAACTTACACCTGTGGTTGCAATGGTGCCTATGCTAACCTTCCTATGGTGTGTAAATATAACTAGTTGGACGAATCTTGTTGTAACCAGCTGACCCAGTGGCTAACGCATCGATCTGGAGTTCTATGACTCTCTGATTGCGGGTTCTAACCCCATCCATGGTATGTTTTTTTCTTTTAAATTTACTTAATTTACCTGAAATGCTCTGCATAACAAGTGGCTTTCTATATAGTAGTGTGTCATTGATGTCAGCTATGGTCTGTATACCTTGTACTTGTAGTAAATAAGATACAGTGGAACCTCTGCTTACGAGTTTAATTCATTCCGTGACCTATCTTGTAACCCGATCTGCTCATATGCTGAGTCAATTTTCCTCGTTTAAATTAACTGAAATGTCATTAATCTGTTCCAGCAGAATTCCTGCTCTCAGGAGGCAGGACAAAATACTTCAATATAACATTAATAACAACTCTACGGCCTATTTATCTATCACAATTCATCTAATATGACATAATAAACGATATAAATAACATAGAAACCTGATATATACTCCAGAATGAATAAAATATATACTCCAGAATGAATAAACCGTATGGCAGGAGAGGTACAGCAGTCATAGGTGGTGTCACATTTGTTCAATGTGGAAGTAGGTCGTGCCCAAGAATTAGGCAAGCGAAGAATTCACTGCAACTTCTTGGGATCTTAATACTTAGGAATTCTTCGCTTGCCTAATTCTTGGGCACGACCTACTTCCACATTGAACAAATGTGACACCACCTATGACTGCTGCACCTCTCCTGCCATACGGTTTATAAGCTGCTTCTCCGATCATATGCCGTATTCTATTCAAGATTGATGGACTGAACACATCGACTCAAGGTTGAGGGACTGATTACCTCATTCTTCTCCTGTTCTTCAAGTTTCTCCTACGTATGGACTGATGAAGCCACTGTGTGGTGAAACGTTTCCTCAATAAAGATACCCAAGAGTTGCACATGTGTCTAATTTATCAACTGCATATTAAAATGGCTACTTGGACATTTATTGGAAAATGACATTATTTGTTTACTTTTGAACATTGGCAAAGATCAAACATTTCCTCTACTTTGAGCTCTATTTCAAGGTTCTTTTCATAGTAAAACCAATCAAAATCACCTCTATTTCTATAATATGTTTTCCATTCTATCAAATGAGACCAAGAAAACGAGAATATGACCATAAATACTATACGAAAATAGACCACAAAGTCGGCATTTTAATTAAAAAAAATGGTCGGAGTTTTTTTTTCTCATTATGCACTGTGTGCTGCAGGATCGTTTTTATATGGTGCACACTGACCACACAGACCCATTTTCTCACATGTGGGCCTACCAGCTTTCTCCTGCTTGATTTGAAGCCGCTAGAATTTATGAGTATATATACATCAAACACAGTGGCTCGTAAGATGTATATATACGACCGAAACAGTCAAAGGGTTAAGATATCACATGTTTCTTGTTATCTTATTGCATAAAAATTAAAATAATCTGAAGGCCCATTAGATGCAAAGTACAGTATCTCTTTACTTTAGAAAGAGTATATTAAAGTACTGCTTGGGCAGTAGATTTGCGGATGAGTGGAACAAACTTCCAGCTACTGTCATTGAAGTGATAACTTTTTATTTCTGAAAGCAAGTTGGATGGGTACCTGAGTGGATGTGAGTTGGACCTGCCTTGCATGGGCCAGTAGGCCTACTTCAGTGTTGTTTCATTCTTGTGCTCTTATGTTACATTATACGTACTAAGTTAGTTTTGGTTAGGTTGTGTTTTAACCCAATCCAGCCCAGCTCAGTGTAATCCAAGGCAGTTCAGTCACACTTAACCCATATTTACCTAATGTAACCAAGCCTAAATATAACCTGACCTAGCCCAATGAATAATTATTCCATGGTGGTACTCACATTATTGATGCAGGCATTATTCCATACTGATCTTGTTCACAAGGAGATAATTTCTCCTATACTATGTGCTACTACTTTCTTCATTAGTCTTCTGTGTGGAACTCCAGCAGAGGTCTTATTGAAGTCTTTATACACAATATCGTTTTGTTTATCATGGTCTGCTGCTTCAAATATCTCAGTGAAAAAAGTTTAGTGAATTCGCAGAATAGGAACATCCTATTTTAAAACTCTACTGAGATTCATTGCAAATTAAATCATAAGTGGCTATGATATGCATATGCAATTACTGATGCCATCAATTTTCCCACAATTGAGATTTGACTGATTGGGGTATAATTTTAAGGTGAGGACCTATCTCCTGCTTTGTGTATTGGTATCACATTGGAAATTTTCTATTTATCTGGTATGATACCTGTCTGTAGTGATATATTGAATTGCCTAGCTAGTGGTTCACCTCATGATAATTTCTCCACATGCTAAAAAACAAATATGAGATAGAGGGAGTTTAGAGTATAAGTAATGAATAGAGATACATATTCCATCTCAGCAGCCATGTGTCACTGGTGATGAGAGGCAAGTGCTCTACCATGGATACAATCTGTGCTCTTGAGATGAGGACCTATTTGTAAGCATTCACATTTCTGAAGTTGCTCTTAATAAGCCATGAGGCATCATCATGTGATTAAAACCTGCATCAGGTGGTTTTTACCAGACATATAGATTTAAAACAACAAATATGTAATCACTTTATGGTTTTCTTGGATTATGGTGGGTTAATATATGGTTAAGAAACTGGATAGTCTGCTTCATCCTGGCACAGGTGGAATTAAATAACTTTGAAGAATCACAGAGATATTCTAGGCTAGAGCTTCATAATACGTGTATATTCCATTTTACTGTAACTATGTCTATAATGACCGTATACAATACAAATTACTTATATGCACTGTACATAATACCTTCATATGTGGTTGTGTGGAAGATTTTATTCAGACTAACCTAATAAAGCTACTAAGTCTGGCTTATTTCCATTGAGGTCCTTTGATCCTCTTTCCCAGGATGTGACTCACAGCAGTCGGCTAACACCCAGGTGTAAAGAAACCTACTCAACATTTCCACTTGTTCCAAGATTGAACCTGGGTCTTTTAGATGTGAGATTATTGCTCTGCCACTTGAGCCATGAATCACCCATGCTTTTAGTTTCATTCTTTATATTTTGCTACATTCTCTGATTTTAATTCAAACTCCTATATTCCTCATCAATTAATCTACCATTTATTACTGTTAATAACTAGTAGTACTATATATTCAAGCAATAAACTTTTCTTATCCTCTTGCTCTCTTCAGCCAGATTTTGATCCTTTCCTCTAACTACATGCATTTGAACTTATAACCCCTCATTTTAAGCCATGTATTAATATGAAAGTAGCCAAAATTTTAAATTTGAGTACTATGTATTGCACAATATTATTTTTAATTCTTTTTATCTTCAAATTGTTACACATCAAAAACAATATTTAAAGACTACTAGAAATCTGAGAGGTGTCAACTTCTGTTAACATGGTGTCTTATCTCCACGTTTGTTTATTTGCAGGTGCTTTGAGAAACACTGCTGCAAGATGCTTCTCAACTACATCCTGCATGTTGGGGAAATTTCCCAAGAAGTAAGTTTAGAGTATTTATTGAGCAGTAGTTGCAATAAATAAGAAATTCAGTCTAACTGCATAAATATTGATAAATGTTATAAAACAAATGTACATGTACTGTACAGGTCTACATCCCTTTATCTGAAACCCTTGGGGCCAGTAGTGTTCCAAATTTCAGAATGAAGGTGGGGTGGGGTCTAGGGCAGCACCAGATAATCAGACATTAACACTGCAGCAAAAACGTATGAATACTCGCACTAAACGAGATAAATAAAGACTACAAATATTACTACAGTTTATTTATAGAGTAATATATTGATAAATGAAATAATGGGATAATTATAGACCAAGAACATGATTCTCAAGACAATTGACCGACGGCATTTTTAAAGACTTCTTCAAGTGTCATCTGTCTTATTAACATAGGTTTCTGTCTAAGCAATCTCTCTTTAACTTACTGATAACTGCACGTTGTTCAAGGCTAGCAATTAACCCTTTGAGGGTTTCGGACGTACTAGTACGGCTTACGACCCAGGGTTTTTGACGTACTAGTACGCCTAAATTCTAGCGCCCTCAAATCTAGTGGGAGAAAGCTGGTAGGCCTTCATATGAAAGAATGGGTCTATGTGGTCAGTGTGCACAGTCTAAAAAAAATCCTGCAGCACACAGTGCATAATGAGAAAAAAAAAACTTTGACAATTTTTTTGGAATAAAACAGCAACTTTGCACTGTATTTTCGTATGGTATTTATTGTTGTATTCTAGTTTTCTTGGTCTCATTTTATAGAATGGAAGACATATTACAGAAATTGAGATGATTTTGACTGGTTTTACAATGAAAGGTACCTTGAAATTGAGCTCAAAGTAGCAGAAATGTTCGATTTTTACCAAATTTCAAAAGTAAACAAATCGTGCCAAGCGTGTAATACACGCCAACTGGTGAGTCTGATATTCTTTTACAAGTGCACCAATAATATTTATACCATTTTTTACACTAATACAGTAGTCTGCATAACAGTAAATCTTATATTTTTTGTGAGAATAAAAATTCAAAGTGGATAGCAAAAGAATATAAGAGGGGCCTTGAGACGTGACTAATGACCAGAGGAAATGTCATTTTAGTGCCAGGAATGTCTTTCTTGTTTATTCTGGACCCTATTCGGAAATTGGCATCTTTTGAAATTTGTGTGAAATTGGCAAAATTGCTAAATTCTGACCACTGTACTGGATAGTTGAATTTCATAAATGGGTGGTTTCTTGCACCCATTAGATAGAAAAAATGGAGTTCTAGTGAAATATCCATGTTTTTTGTCGACTAGTACAGTGGAATTGGCCGAAAATGGGGCTCAAAGTGGGCAAAATCGCCGATGCGTAAAAATCGCCGAGACCGCTAACTTTGCGAGAGCATAATTCAGTAAGTTTTCCATCAAATTTCAAACTTTTGGTGTCCTTATGATCGGGAAAAGATTCTCTATCTTTTCATAAGAGAAAAAAATTTTTTTTTTTTTAAATTTGGCCGACCCTGAGAACGAGTTTCGGAGAGGGCCTGTCGACCCTCAAAGGGTTAAATGACCACACATTTTCACCATATCGTCTATGGGGACTTTTTCACCTGTGTTCACAATGTCATTATCATCATCCCATTTTTTCATTAGTTTTTGGTCATCACTGTCACTATAATACTTCAGTAAGTTGTCTTTCTGTTTCTTTAAATCATAAACAGTGGTAGTTCCAACATGGTGGCATTGGAGTTATGTAGAGATGACTGATGCTCCACACTACACGAAAAAACTTTGATTTTTCAGAACTTTTTGAATTTCAGAATTTTGGATAAAGGTATGTGGACCTGTACTATTTTAAATGAAAGATCATGAAACAGTGACAAAAAGTTAGCAGTTACTTTATTATTATCTCATTCATGGATAAGTGCTAAATCATCAACAGCCATGTAGTGCTTGGGTAATGAGGGGAAATTAGGATTGATCTAGGGAAGAGAGGGGCAGCTCCAGTTCCTTGGATCAAGGAAGCAGTCACATGTGAACATACATATTATCATTACAAATAAATGGAAATTTTTGCATTTTTTATGTACTGTATTACCTGGAGTTTACCTGGAGAGAGTTCCGGGGGTCAACGCCCCCGCAGCCCGGTCTGTGACCAGGCCTCCTGGTGGATCAGAGCCTGATCAACCAGGCTGTTACTGCAGGCTGCACACAATCCAACGTACGAGCCACAGCGCGGCTGGTCAGGTACCGACTTTAGGTGCTTGTCCAGTGCCTGCTTGAAGACAGCCAGGGGTCTATTGGTAATCCCCCTTATGTATGCTGGGAGGCAGTTGAACAGTCTCGGGCCCCTGACACTTATTGTATTGTCTCTTAACGTGCTAATGACACCCCTGCTTCTCATTGGGGGGATGTTGCATCGTCTGCCGAGTCTTTTGCTTTCATTGTGAGTGATTTTCATGTGCACGTTCAGTACTATTCCTTCTAGGATTTTCCACGTGTATATAATCATGTATCTCTCCCATCTGCGTTCCAGGGAGTACAGGTTCAGGAACTTCAAGCGCTCCCAGTAATTGAGGTGTTTTATCTCCGTTATGCGTGCCGTGAAGGTTCTCTGTACATTTTCTACTGCCTTGAAAGGTGCTGTTAGTGTGCAGCAATATTCCAGCCTAGATAGAACAAGCGACCTGAAGAGTGTCATCATGGGCTTGGCATCCCTAGTTTTGAAGGTTCTCATTATCCATCCTGTCATTTTTTTAGCAGATGCGATTGATACAATGTTATGGTCCTTGAAGGTGAGATTCTCCGACATGATCACTCCCAGGTCTTTGACGTTGGTTTTTCGCTCTATTTTGTGGCCAGAATTTGTTTTGTACTCTGATGAAGTTTTAATTTCCTCATGTTTACCATATCGGAGTCCAGTGGAACCTCAAATATCGAACTTAATCCGTTCCAGGAGCTAGTTCTAAATTCGAAAAGTATGAAAATCGAAGCAGTATTTCCCATAAGAAATAATGGAAATAAAATTAATCGGTTCCAGAAACCTAAAAATACTCGCAAAAAAATACATTTTACAGAGATTAATTACAGTTTTACATACACAACAAATACTATAGTGTTCAATTATGTATATAAATATAAAATAACATTTTTACTTACATTTATTGAAGATTGGTGATGGCATCTGGAAGATAGAGAGGAGGAGAGAGGGAGTTGGGGTTAGTGTTTGGAAGGAGAATCCCCCTCCATGAGGACTTGAGGTAAAGCCCTCTCTGGGGTTACTTCCCTACTCTGTCTTTTAATGCCAATAGGACCAGCTTGAGAGTCACTGGACCCCTGTCTCACAAAATAACTGTCCACAGTCCTCTGTTTCTGAACTGGTTCCAGGAGTTTTCTGTACCAGATCAGCATGCAACTTCCTTGCCTTTTCGCAAATAATCGTCTCTGAAACACTATCACCAGCCATCTCTTTATCCTTGATCCACACCAGCAACAACTTCTCAACCTCTTCAACTATTCCTGGTCTTTTTTGGTTAGCATATTAACACCTTTCGCAACATCAGCTTCCTTGATCTTTCTTTGCCAGGATCGAACCGATGGTCGACTTGTTTTTCCCATACATCTTAGCAAGCTCAGCAAGTCTCACACCACTCTCATATTTCTGTATTATTTCCTTCTTCACATCTATGGTGTTTCTCACTTTCTTTACCACAGGGGTACCACTAGCAAGTTTCTTTTGGCCCATGGTAGCTTATTTCACAGTCCCATAAGCACTAAACACAATGAAATAATCATAAAATGTTTGAATGAGAGTGCAGGTTAGTGTTCACTCAAGCATCAACAAAGCCAGACTGGCTCACGGTGCCCGCGCGGGGATGCGGACAGAGCAGGCTGGCGGACAGGTCTGGTACCCAGCGGTCCGAAAATAAGGGCGCGTTCGATAATAGGGACAAAGCTGGTTCGAAAAAAAGGTTCTATTTTTGAAACGTTTGATAAGTGATACGTTCGAAATTTGAGGTTCCACTGTAATTGAAATTTCTCATCGTTGAACTTCATATTGTTTTCTGCAGCCCATTGAAGGATTTGGTTGATGTCTGCCTGGAGCCGTGCAGTGTCTGCAATGGAAGACACTGTCATGCAGATTCGGGTGTCATCTGCAAAGGAAGACACGGTGCTGTGGCTGACATCCTTGTCTATGTCAGATATGAGGATGAGAAACAAGATGGGAGTGAGTACTGTGCCTTGTGGAACAGAGCTTTTCACCGTAGCTGCCTCGGACTTTACTCTGTTGACTACTACTCTTTGGGTTCTGTTTGTGAGGAAATTATAGATCCATCGACCAACTTTTCCTGTTATTCCTTTATCACTCATTTTGTGCGCTATTGCGCCATGGTCACACTTGTCGAAGGCTTTTGCAAAGTCTGTATGTATTACATCTGTATTCTTTTTGTCTTCTAGTGCATCTAGGACCTTGTCATAGTGATCCAGTAGCTGAGACAGACAGGAGTGACCTGCTCTAAACCCATGTTGCCCTGGGTTGTGTAATTGATGGGTATCTAGATGGGTGGCGATCTTGCTTCTTAGGACCCTTTCAAAGATTTTTATGATATGGGAAGTTAGTGCTATCGGTCTGTAGTTCTTTGCTATTGCTTTACTGCCCCCTTTGTGAAGTGGGGCCATGTCTGTTTTTTTTAGTAACTATGGGATGACCCCTGTGTCCATGCTCCCTCTCCATAGGATGGTAAAAGCTCGTGATAGGGGCTTCTTGCAGTTCTTGATGAACACGGAGTTCCATGAGTCTGGCATGGGCATGGGCATGTCACATTGCCTGTTCGAAGTCATTTGGTGTCAGGATAATATCAGATAGGCTTGTGTTAACCAAATTTTGTGGCTCTCTCATAAAAAATTTATTTTGATCTTTGACTCTCAGTCTGGTTAGCAGCTTGCTAAAAACTGAGTCATATTGGGACTTGAGTAGCTCACTCATTTTCTTGCTGTCATCTGTGTACGACCCATCTTGTTTAAGTAGGGGCCCAATACTGGATGTTGTTTTCGACTTTGATTTGGCATAAGAAAAGAAATACTTTGGGTCTCTTTCGATTTCATTTATGGCTTTTAGTCCTTCCCGCGATTCCTGACTCCTATAAGAATTCTTTTCCTTAAGTTTGATGTTTGCTGTTTGTCTGACCAGTGACTCCCTACGCATTTCAGATATATTGTCCTCTTTTAGCCACTCTGTTATTCTTTTCCGTCGCTGAAAAGGGGAGCGCTGTCTCTTTCTATTTTAATCTACTCTCCTTTTTCTTAAAGGAATAAACCTTGAGCATACATCGTGTGCCCCGAGTTAATCTGTTCTAGGCATAAGTTGGGGTCTGTGTTGCTTAGTCTATCTTCCCAGCTTATATCGTTTAGGACTTGAATTACTTGGTCCCACTTTATGTTCTTGTTATTGAAGTTGAATTTGGTGAAGGCTCCCTCGTGACTAATTCATTATGTCGGTCTGGGGCTCCACGCATACATGTCTGAACCTCGATTATGTTGGGGATCTGAGTATATTGTTTTTGTTTATGGTGACATTTGTATCAGACCCATCATTGTTAGTGAAGATGAGGTCTAAGTGTATTCTCCAGTCTAGTAGGCTCTATTATTTGCTGGTCTAAGTTGAATTTTGTGCAGAGATTTAAAAGCTTGTGTGTGTGTGAGTTCTCGTCAGAGCTGCTCCGGGTGTTATCACTGCAACAACATTATTTGCTATATTCCTCCTTTTTAGGTGCCTAAAGTTGAAATTCTCCAGGAACAAGATGTTGGGGGCAGGAGCTGGCAGATTTTCCAGACAGTGGTCAATTTTTGACAGCTGTTCCTGGAATTGCTGGGACGTTGCATCGGGAGGCTTGTAGGACTCCACAATGGACTAGGTTTTGGTTCTCAATCGTTACTGCTAATACTTCCTCACTGCATCATTTGAGGCATTAAGCAGTTCTGTGCAAACAAGTGACTCTGCAATATTACAGGCCAACCCCCCTCCTTTTTGCCTGTTCACTCTGTCACATCTGTATGGAATTTGTACTGGGATCCATATTTCGTTGTCCAAGTAATCTTTATATGGGTCTCTATGAACGGCCGCGAGTTTGCATTTGCCTCTGCAAGCAGTCCACAGATGTAAGTGTATTTTGTTGTTCGTGCTGGCTTTAGACCCTGTATATTTGCAAAGAAGAATGTCATCGGAACTGGTGATATTAGTGGTACTGGGGGGGGGGGTTTTTTTTCCAGGCTAGTATCTGTATCAGTTGGTTGGAGTGGAGGCCATCGCCTGTGGGTCCACTCCAGAAATGACTGGCTTTGGCGTACTTTTTCATCTTTTCCTGCCAGTTTTTTTTCCTTCTGGCACTAAAAAACCTCTCCCTTTGAGTGGCTGTGGCTACCCAGGTTTTCCATTGGCCTGGATGTTTTTGTATCTTTTTTGTTACCTTAGTTGTGTTGCCTGGCCAATTTAAATTATGCACAGTCTTTCTGTCTGAAGAGGGGACCATTTCAGGGTGAAAAAGCTTAACAGGAAGTGAGTTTGCATTTTTCTGTTGTCATATGGGCACAGCATTTTCTTGGGTGGTCATGTTTACATCCAATCTGCTTTTCAGATTTCCATGCCTGCAGATACCAGTACATAGTATGTGCCAGGGCTTGGTGTGTTTGCCTTGGGGTTTCTATGGACTGTATTCCATGTTTGATGCATGTTACCTGTCTCATTCCTAATCCTCACTAGTACTAACATGGAGCTCTACCAGTTGTTTCTGGTAATATATCCTCATATTGTAGTGACGTTCCTTGTTTGCTATCTCCTGTGTATTACTAGTTTGTATATTGGTTTTATCTTGCCTTGATCACACTGTTTCCCCACGACGCTCTGTTCTCCCTCGTGGTCATTTATATGCTTTCCCTCATGGTATATTTACTGACTACCTGCGACAGCACCTCCTCCTCACCATTACTGTCTCCCAGGGGACAGCACCTCCATTCTCACCTTTACTGTCTCCAGAAAGACTCCGACTTTCATTACTGTCACCAGGACAGCACCTCCGTCTTACAGTTTTGACTTCATGGCCCGCACAAAGGCAATACCTCCAGCCCGGACTTTTTATTTTCCCATCTGTTGTAGATGCTTCCAGGTTTTCTATGAAAGGCTGCTTTGATGTTATTCTCTTTTAATACCATGTGATTTAATCCACAGATTATCTCATTTGGGCATACCCAAAAACACTTCCTATATTGTAGATAGTTCTTGGATTGCACAAGGGGGTGACACCAATATTTCACACAAAAATGGCAAGTATTACCTATGTAATACATATTAAAAAAATTGATGTACAGAATCACTGTCTATTTATTTTTAGCTTTATACATGTAAATGAAAGTTTTAACTTACTTTTTCAGCTGTTATTTTTTTTACCAAATTAACCAGTTTTGATACATCTATGGGAGCTGTGGACCACTGGGTAGTAGATGGAGCAGCTGACTACACTTTCCTTGATGGAGATCAACTCCACTTTCGCGTTGGACAGAGAAGGAGGATCAAGAGCAACGGGAAGTTTCGGTAGTAATGTGGGTATTTTGCAGTACAGAGTTAATTACACATAATACGTATTTAAAATTTTTTATGGTACCCGTGGTCTGATTGCTAAACCTTCTCACTTCACATGGTGAGGGTCGGGTTTTATTCCCAGGTGGTAGAAATGGGTATGTTTTTTACACTGGTTTTTGTCTATAGTACCACATCATTAAAATGGGTAGCTGGGAGTTAGCGACTGGTGGTGGGTTCATCCTGCCCCCGACAAGGACCTAATTTGCCGGAAATATGCTTTTGCATAACAAGGGGCTTTTCTATAATAGGAGTATTGGTCCCATTGATGTCAGCTAGGCTGACATCCTTTGTACTTTGGAAATTTTTTTTTTTTTTTTAACCCATAACGGTCCAAGCAGAGCTACGTTCACATGTGTAGTTGTAGATTGTTACAAAAGTTAAGATATACGTTTTTTTCTTTACATATTTTCAAATATAACAAAAAAAAAATAAAAGTAGATCAAAGTTTTTAACATTTTTCATATAGTAAAAAAAAAACAAAAAGAAGAGCTACTTTTTTTACATACTTTCAATGTTGGAAAAACCGATATAAAAATAAAAAACGTATATATAGTTTTGACCGTTTAGGGTGGGTTAAACAAGTCGGCCGTCTCCCACCGAGGCAGGGGGTGACCAAAAAGAAAGAAATCCCCCAAAAAGAAAATACTTTCATCATCATTCAACCACTTTCACCACACTCACATTATCACTGCTTTGCCAGAGGTGCTCGCTCGAACTTTCAAACAGAATTTAGAAGCATATACGTTATAAAAGATACACATCATATCCCTCCAAACTGCCTATATCCCGCAAAACCCCCTCCTTGAAGTGCAGGCATTGCACTTCCCTCAGTTCCAGGGCTCAAGTGCCGGCTATCCAAAAATAACCGGTTTCCCTGATTTTTTTTTTCTTTTTCAACAAGTTGGGCAGTCTCCCAACGAGGCAAGGGTGGACCCAAAAAAGAAAAGAAAAGAAAATCCCCAAAAAGGAAAATATTTTTCATCATTCAACACTTTCACCACACTCACACATTATCATGTTGTTTTTGCAGAGGTGCTCAGAATACAACAGTTTAGGAAGCATATACGTATATAAAGATACACAAGCATATCCCTCCAAACTGCCAATATCCCAAACCCTCCTTTTTTAAAGTGCAGGCATTGCCTTCCCTTTCCAGGACTCAAGTCGACTATATGGGAAAAATTCCAGTTTCCCTGAATCCCTTCACTCTAATATTACCTGTCCACACCCAACAGCAGATCGTAGGACCCAAGTTTACCATTCGTCTCCATTCACTCCTATCGAACAGCTCACGCCACGCTTGCTGGAAGTCCAAGCCCCGTGCCCATCAAAACTCCTTTACCCCCTCTCACCAACCCTTTCGAGGATTTTCTCATCGGTACTCCTTACCCTGCCTTCCTTCCCCTATAGATTTGTATGCTTTTCCATGTCTTTCTACTTTGATCCATTCTCTCTAAATGAACCAAACCACCTCAACAACCCCTCTTCAGCCCTCTGATTAATACTTTTATTAACTCCAAACCTTCTCTAATTTTCCACACTCCGAAATTTTTCTGCATAATATTTACACCACACATTGCCATGTACATGTACACCTACTCATCGACGTAGACGAGTCGGTTCCGAGAAAAACCGGTCATAAGTCGAAATGGTCGTAAGCGAACTTTCTACCTGAAATTCAACAAAACATGTTTGTAGTGTAATGACTTTTATCTTTTTTTGTTTTTTTATTTTGGTTTTTTTCATGTTTTCCTTTTACTTTTTATGCTGTTAGTACTGTAATTTTATATGTGTAAGGTTTAGGATACACACTGATGTACAACACAAAATAGTTATTTTATTTCCCTGGAAAAATTTGGCCATAAAATACACAATCGTAAGTCGAGTGGTCGTAAGTCGAGCAGGTCGTAAGTCGGTTGGTAGGGTTGTACTTGTAGTAAACTAAACATATAATTATTACAGGTCTGCCATCACTAAATCCATGCTGTTCAACATAGTTGCTGATCCCTGTGGATTATATAGTAGAGCATTAGTATCATCCATTGTGCTTTAGATACGGATGATCCCTTTTAGGCCTGTGACTTTGTGTGACAGGCTACCAAGCGATGGCATGTGTACATTCATACCTCTGCTCGGTTCTCAGTCGGTGGTTAGATCACGGCTAGAACACGGCAAGGCTGGGGCTCCATCTACCATCTCTCAGTTCTGACATTTATATCGTTTCCATCAAACAAGTTGTCTACTTCAAACCTCGATATCTCATTTAAGAACCCCTATGGATAAATGGTTGGCAACGGAGGGCCTGTATTTTCTGACGATTACAGTGATTTGGGAGATAAAATTTTTTACCGAGCCTGCCATCTTGTGAGTAGGCTACCGAGACGGTTAACGCCAGCCAACTACCTCAAGTTCAGATTACCTTCTCAAGCTCCTACCAGCTTCTACACATTCACTGGTCAGATTCTTTGTATTAGTGATTTTATTGCTCATTTGCTTCACTCCGGGGGGTGGACCCGAGTTTTGCAAAATAGCCAGCTTCAGTTGTGGTGAGGAGTCAAGTCTAGCCTAGTTTTACTCCATCAATTCTTTTGATTTTCTGCCAAAGCCAGCTTCCACCTCTGCTTGTGTCATCGTGTGAAGATATCAAGTATTCTGTGTAGGATTTAAGATATAAGCAGTAGGCAACTAAACCAGGGGTGTCTTACCCCAGTACTCAGCAAAGCCCTCCGTTGAGTAGTCATTCATCGCTTGTGATTCAAGCTCCAAGCATCCTGAGTGAGCTCTTTTTCATTCCTTGTGGGTGTTGTGGTATTTCGTGGGTGTATTTTAAGCTAGCCAGCTAGAGAAATTCTTCGCGGCAGTGTGGCTGGCCTCAGTGAGGCTTACGCCGATTAACCCATGGCCTACCACCCACTCACCGGTGTGTTCACCATTGCCGTCTTAGCCCTGTTTACCACAACCCAACCACTATCCACTGTGTTGATGGTACTCACCCTACCTCTACCTTATGTTTTGGTGCACTACTTAATGGTTGTAGCACCATATTTTAAGGAACCACATAGGGGGTAGAGCTAGAGTGGTTTCGCGCCACCGTTTGTTGATGAAAGCCCACCTGTATGTGTGGTCTGTGTCGATGTAAGCGAATTTACGATACGTGTGCAGAGAAAGCACAAGACGAACTAAACAATCTCTATTCTCCACTACCATCTACCCATTCTACACCAATCGATATCAGCGATTAATTAATATTTTGTTTTTTTAGAAAGACATTTGGAGTGTTGAGACAGTTTCTTTTGTGTTCCAGTGATTTTCTTAGTGACATTCATGACTCTTGATTAGACTTCAGGGTTTATTCATATACTGATTGCAATAATTTGATTCTCCCTTAATTCAGTGTTAATTTTCGTGCATTATCTTATGTCTGTTGTGTTGTGGTCATTTTTTACACGTGAAGTAAGTACCCTAGTGTTGTTCCTTGTGTGTGCAGCATATGAATGTATAGAACTTGTGTTGTACACTTCAGAATCACCTTGTGTTCTCAGTGATTCAGTGGAGTAATTCCGAATTTATTTAATTGTGTCTGCATCAACCTGTGGTTGTCCCATTATATATATTTCTTTCATCCCAGCATTTGTGTATTCTTTTTTTTTGTTCTCTGAATGTGTTGAACATTCTTGTGTTCAAATTCTTTTTCATTTAGCCAGTGTCTAATTTGTCCTTATTTCCACAGACAATAGTGCCGTTATTTTGTGCAAGCTAGCAAATCATTTTTTACAAAATTTTTTTCACACATCATGTTTCATTGCAAGAAAATTTATAGTATTGTGTTTATGTTGATGTGTTGCTGTTACTGCTCACTGTAAGTTTTCATAGTTTTTTGTTGGGTGTTGTTAGCACCTATTATTTTCCATGTTTCATTGAAATTTTTCACAAATTCATCTTAGTGCAGTTTTTAAGTTCTTCTTTTAGAGTATATTGTTCTTTTGCTTGTTATGTTTGCTTGAGTTCAGTTAAGAGTTAAAGTGTTCCCTCAGTTCATTCTTGATGTATTTCTTTTCTTGTGTGGTGTAATAATTTTTTATGATTGCACATTGACTCATTTTGCCATAATTCTTGTGCACATATTGTGTTGCCTTTAACGTTTTCTTGCAGAGATTTTATGCAGTGTTGTGCAATACTTTTGATTAGCAATTGTCATTTGCAATATTGCCTACAGTTTATTTCAGTGCAGTTTCTTATGCTCTGTTCTGATGCATAATATTTTATTCTGTCTGTTTGCCATTTTATTTTATTCCAGTGGGCATTGTGTCCCAGTTTGGTTTATTTTTGCACAAGCTTTATTGAGTCCATTTTATCATCATTTTGTGTGTTTCCCTATTGCATTGAAAGTAAAGACAACTCTACTGTGCACCATTTATTCAATTTAAAGTAAGTATGAGCAAATCGATTTGAGTAAAGTACATGTTTCTTGATTGTTCAAAGTGTTTGTTAAGTTGAGTTTTTTTCTTGTGTGAGTTTCTTTGCTTACTGTGTGACCTGTCCAATTTTTAATTACTTATGCAGATTAGTTATGCATTTTCTTCTCGTTTAATTATTGTGTCTTTTCTCCAATTTTTTCTTGTCTTTATGTCTTCAGTAAGTTCATGAGAAGATGGTCGAGTCACTTTTGAATGTTCACTTAGTGTATCATGCCAGTCAAAGTCCAATATGAATCAGTCCACAGTACCAATATTCCATTACTGACTGAAAGACAATACCTAGCCTTGAGCAATGTGTTTGTTCTCACAGCTTGTATCTGAGATTTGTTAAGTGCTGCGTTTGTGAAGTTCAGATTAAGTTCCTATAGATCGTGAATTTACTTATTAACGTAGCCCGAGCGGTTCTGGCACTAGTAAACTCTGTCACTCCCATCTGTGTTCCACTACACCTTCATACTTGCAGGATAGTGTTCC